AAAAAAAAAAAAAAAAAAAAGAGGAAGAAAAAGTCATGCTGCTCTGGGCCCACATCCTTGTGCTGCTCCTGTGACATTCATCAGGGACTCCCTGAGGCTTGGCTCAAGACCCAGGCTAGGTTGGAGGGAGTCAACACCACCACCACGCCACAGACATTTCTCCCGTCTATCACCCACTCCCACTCCTGTAGCCTAACCTTTTTTTTTTTTTTGAGTTGGAGTCTCACTCTGTCACCCAGGCTGGAGTGCAGTGGCATGCACACAGCCAATGCAGCCTCAACCTGTCAGGCTCAGGTGATCCTTCTGCCTCAGCCTTCCAAGTAGCTGGAACTACAGACATGTGCTACCATGCCTGGCTAATTATTTTAGTGTAGAGATGAGTTCTCACTAAGTTGCCCAGGCTGGTCTCCAACCCCTGGGCTCAGGCAATCCTTTCACCTCAGCCTCCCAAAGTGCTGGGATTATAGGCATGAGCCACAGCACCGGGCTTAAGGCTGTTTTCATTCATTCACAAACAATCTTGATTTGAGTACCTACTATGTACCAGGCATAGTATAAAGAACCAAAACAAACACTGTCATTCCCTCATTTAACTATAATATCTATGCTTTAAAGGAGAAGTACAGGAGCCATGAGAATGCATGACGGAGTTCTGATGTAGGCTGGGGTTCTGGGGAAGATTTCCCTGGAGGAAGCGACCTTTAAGGAGAGAACTGAGCCGGGCTCAGTGGCTCAGCCTGTAATCCCACGCTTTGGGAGGCTGAGGTGAGTGGATTGCCTGAGCTCGCGGGTTCGAGACCTGCCTAGGCAACTTGGCAAGACCTCATTGTAGTTCCAGCTACTTGGAAGGCTGAGGCGGAAAGATCGCTGGAGCCCAGCAGGTCGAGGCTCCGGTGGCCGAGAGCGAGACACTGCACTCCAGCCTGGGTGACAGAGTGAGACTCCAACTCAAAAAAAAAAAAAAGAGAGAACTGAAAGATGAGGAAAAGTTAGGGGGTCTTGCAGGGGTGAGCATTCTAAACAAGGGTATTATGTGTGAAGGCACAAAGGAACAGAGCACATTTTGAGGACTGAAAGACTGGGACAGAGACAGCCAGAAGCAAAGTAGTTACAAATGAAGCTGGTGAGGAGAATGGGGGCAGCTCACAGGCATTCCTTCAGTCTAAGTTATGGCTCATGACATCTAGTTAAGTCACTATTTATCCACAGGCTTTAAGTGCTGCCAACATGCCAATGACTTTGCCACCCCGCCATAGAAGCCTCCCCTGTGCACCCTGGACTTTATCATGTGGAGGAAATACGTCCTCTACAACCTTCACCTCCAGCATCTCTCTGACTCCCGTGAACCTCCTTGATCTCTTGACCTTAAACATTTTCAGGAGAATCAGAACCCGGTCAGAAGGTCCCAAGAAGAGGCCAGGAATCTAGGTTTTTAATTAGTACATATTTTGAGAAACAATGCCCCATCCCTTTTTTAAAGTTTTTTTTATGTTTTGTTTTGTTTTGTTTTTCGAGTCGGAGTCTCACTCAGTCGCCCAGGCTGGAGTACAGTGGTACGCTCATGGCCACCCCTGCGTTAACCTGATGGGCTCTGGTGATCCGTCCACCTCAACCTTCCAAGTAGCTGGAACTACAGGCGCAGGCTACCACGCCCAGGTAATTTTTTTGATTTATTGTAGAGACGAGGTCTCGCCAAGTTGCCTGGGCTGGTCTCCAACCCGCAGGCTCAGGCAATCCACTCACCTCAGCTTCCCAAAATGCTGGGATTACAGGCTGAGCCATCAAGCCCAGCAGCTTTTTATGTTTTTAATGCTTTCTAGAAGGTAATTTATGCACATGGTTTAAAAAAAAATCCAAACAGTATAAAACAGTGAGGGGAAAAAAAGCCTCCCTCCTGACCAATCCCCAACCTTCCATTTCTCTTTGCCAGGAACAATTATCAACCAGGGCCTTCATTATCCTTCCAAAGATAGTCTTCATTCATATATGTATTCACTACCTTATTTTATTTTATTTTATTTTTTAGTTGGAGTCTCACTCTGTCACCCAGGATGGAGGGCAGTGGCACATCGTTCGGCCACCGCAGCCTCAACCTGCTGGGCTCTGGCAATCCTTCTGCCTCAGCCTTCCAAGTAGCTGGAACTACAGGTGCATGATACCATGCCCGGCTAAGTTTTTGATTTATTGTAGAGACTAGGTTTCGCCAAGTTGCCTGGGCTGGTCTCAAACCCGTGGGCTCAGGCAATCCACTCTCCTTGGCCTCCCAAAGTGCTGGAATTACAGACTGAGCCACCGAGTCTGGCCCACTACCTTATTTTAAATACAGATAGTATTTAACTATGAACTCTTCTATACCTTGCTTTTGTTACCTAATCTCATAGATGTACCTTATTCTTTTAAAGAACAGCTTTCCATTGTCTAGATGTCATTTATTTTTACCAGTCTCCTACTGATGGGTATGTAAAATGTCTACTATTTTGTTCATTCAAATTGTATTATAATAATTATACTTGAAGATATGTCTCTGTGTACATGACGTATCTGGAAGACAAATTCTTTTTTTTTTTTTTTGTCGTTGTCTCACTCTTTCGCCCAGGTTGGAGTGCACACTCACGGCCACCGCAGCCTCCACCTGCTGGGCTCAGGCGATCCTTCCACCTCAGTCTTCCAAGTAGCTGGAACTACAGGCATGTGCCACGGTGCCCAGCTAATTTTTTTTTCATTTATTGTAGAGATGAGGTCTCACCAAGTTGCCCAGGCTTGTCTTGGACCTATGGATTCAGGCAATCCTCTCCCCTCGGCCTCCCAAAGTGCCGGGATTATAGGCACAAGCCACTGCACCCGGCTGAAAAATTCTTAAAAAGTAGAATTTGAAAAGTGAGACTCTGACTCAATTTTAAAAAAAGTAGGATCGCTGGGTTAAAGAAGGTGAGCACTTTTTTGGCCAGGCTCAGTGGCTCAATCTGTAATCCCAGCCCTTTGGGAGGCCGAGGTGAGTGGATTGCCTGAGCCTGGGAGTTCAAGACCAGCCCAGACAACTTGGCAAGACCTCGTCTCTACAATAAATTAAAAATTAGCCAGACACAGTAGCACATACCTGTAGTTCTGGCTACTTGGAAGGCTGAGGCAGAAGGATTGCCAGAACCCAGTGGGTCAATGCTGGGATGACCGTGAATGTGCCACTGCACTCCAGTCTGGGCAACAGAGACTCCAACTCCAAAAAAAAAAGAGAAGGTGAGCACTTTTTTTATCATTGGCAATCTAACAGATAAAATACGGTATCGTCCTAGTTTTAATTTGCATTTCCTTGATTATGAACGAGGATGAACCCCTTATTCGGTTGATCTTCTTTTCCTTTTCTTTTTTTTTTTTTTTGAGTTGGAGTCTCACTCAGTCGCCCAGACTGGAGTGCAGCGGCCACTCCCGGCCACCACAGCCTCAACCTGCTGGGCAGCCTCGACCTGCTGGGCTCCGGCGATCCTTCCACTTCAGCCTTCCCAGTAGCCGGAATTACAGGCATGCGCTACCATGCCCGGCTGATTTTTTGATTTATTGTAGAGATGAGGTCTCGCTGCCCAGGTGGGTCTCAAACCCACGGGCTCAGGCAATCCACTCACCTCAGCCTCCCAAAGGCGCGGGATTACAGGCTGAGCCACCGAGCCCGGCTGGCTTCTAGTATTTTTAATACATAATTCTTTTTATGTTAATGTAGTCAGTCACAACCACTTTTTAAAATGCTTTTTTGTGTGTGTATGTCACAAAGCTCTTGGCCCTTCTGTTTTCTCACAATTTAACACTTCCTTTTCTTATCAGCCTACACTTCAAGACCATCACCAACCATTATC